TCCCTACTAACTAGCTATGAGACCTTGCCATGTGACCTCACCTCACTGTAGCTCAGTATCCTCATCTGTACTAACGAAAAAAGCATGGTAACCTAGCTCATTTGGATATTATGAGCATTATGTGAGTTAATACATGTAAAAATGTACCTCCCTCTCTCCTGGAAATAATTCAGTAAGTGTTAGCTAGCATCATTACATTGTTATTACTATACCAGGGGCTCTAGAAGGAAAATTTCTTATCACTACAATATTTCTTAGCTTATAAGATCAGGAGAATTATTTAATATCCTGGATTATCACAATCACTTTTTATTTTAAAAAATTATAAAAAGGCAAATTTGATGATCTTGAAGATCCTTAGAGCTCTTAATGAGATGTAATTATCCTGATCTCTCGCTTCACTTTCTGTTCAAGGCTCCATCCTTCTTCAGACACCCTGGTCATCTGAGCCTTGCTCCCAGTAGTTAGTTTTCAAATGACCCTTCCTGTCTCCAAGGCTGCAATTTGCTCTGTCCAGGAGGCATTTAATGATGTATTCTGAAGTACCAAATAACTCAGAAGCGTCTTGGAGCCTCCCACTGATGGCTTTCCTTGTCAGGAAGTGGATGAGGAGTGTTCCTGATGCTTGTTAGTCACTTCATGTTGACAGCTACTTACTCTTCTTACAGGACCATGGTGTCCTGGCTCAGGAGCACCATTCATCTATGATACATTGTGGGTGGTGCCCCTTGAGCCCCAGCAGGCCACTGGGGCTGCAACTTCCCATGTCATTTCATTAAGTAGACAACAATTACCTAACCTAACCACTAACAGGTTAAGAATGGAGCTTCTCTGCCTTGAGCTTAAGTCCTTTTACATGCCAAGGTTGTGTGTTTCAGGTGTTCCTGTTACACACATGCAAGTGCTGTGGACAGGCACGTGGCAGAGCCACATGGAGTCTGTCAGGAGATCAAAGACCCCCCTACACCAGAATGATGCCTTGAACCACCTGGGCAAATGTCCCTCACTGAGCCACAGGCCCTCATGTCTCTCCTGAGGCATTCATCACTTCCTTCTTGTTGACCACGTGGAAGTCACTGACTCCTTGTTTAGCAGAATCTGAGCTTGTTCAACATCTCCCACAGCCCTGGCCAAACACAGAGCCTGGGGGAGAATGAATATGTAAATAAATAAGATCATTTCCTCTTCTGCAGTCCATCAAGATACAAATACTACTCAGAAAAGAACCTAGCAAAATCTGAATGCTTTATGAGACATGCACATAGATTACCTTATTTTCCGACGGGCACCCAGAGCAGTGCATGTCAATACAAAGAAGGCAGAAGGAGTTCAGGACTTTCAAAGACAAAGTGAACCTCTCTGCTGTAAATTTTGCTGAGAGCCCTTCATACGAAAGTCCAATACACACATTAACTTTAGTTTCCCATTTCAGCTCCCATTTGGCTCAGAGAAAGGGGAAGCAGAGTTTATGTTATCACCACAGCTGGAGTGGCCTGGGAGAGGGTTCTTCTCTGGCAGGAAGGGTGTGAAGAGCAGCAACATCCTGTTTGTGTTTGGCCAGTCAGCAAGTTTCCCAGGACTTCCTTCTCTGTGTCCTTGTTTTCCTTGCAGATTTCTCTTCTGATTTCCTGATATTTTTTTGTCTTCTTTTGTTACAGCTTTGGGGCATAATCAAGCAAGGATACAAATGCAAAGGTAAATGAATGTTATTTAGTTAAAATTTTTAAAATTTGACATTTTGGGTAGGGATCAAATTTGTCTGGTTGAACCACAAAAGCACTTTTTTTTTTATATAAAAAAGAGGTTTTTACCATAGGGTGTGTGTGCTTGATGGAGAGAAAGAGAAAGAGAGACAGTGAGAGGGAAGGTGAAGACAACCCCCCACTTCCAGGGAGGATGGCCACACCACAATCCCATCTCCTCCATTATCCTCCTGGGATCTTGGGCACACACACACACACACACACACGCATGCACTCGGCTTGAGTTTCAAGCTACAGGATCTGGACTCAAACCACAGTGGGCCTTGTGGGAATTCAGCAACATAACTGCTACACCACCTGCTGGCCCCAAAAGTTCTTGACTGGCATCTTTGAGAACTTGGGTCTTTGGAAACTGTTGACAAATAGAATGAATGTGTCTAGGGAGGAGTTGCTGAAGTGATAGAGCGCCAAAATTCCAATTTTGTAGCTTGCTACAGGAAGAAAGCAAATTCCTCTTATCAACAAGCATACATTTAGCCTGTCTCTAACATCCTAGGGTAATGAATCATTAGCATTCAGTTAAGGTGAGGATTCTGAAAGGGGAAGGGCCTAACTTAAACACTGGAGAGACCAGTGATTAAGGTGCTAGACTCCCATATAGCAGACTGTGGTTTAATCCCAAACCGGGCGTCTTGAAACTCAAGGTAGGTGTGTGTACATGTACACCCAAAATCCTGAGAGAGAGAATAGAGGAGAAGGGATTGTGGCATGGTCATCCTCTGATGGAGTGATTTCTCACCTTCTCTCTGTCTCTCTATCAAGTATCAAAAAATCTTTTTCTTTCAAGATCTTCCATCTTCCCATTCTTACGTAGCAATTTCTTTTTCTACTAAGTCTTGAAAATAGATGATGAGAAAAGAGGGAAAAAACTTAAAACTTACCTGTGTCTCTTTTGATGAACTCATTTTTATATTTTCCCCATTTAATTAAAATTTGTAAACAATTGAATAAATATGTATTTGACAAATGCTATATGCATATATATTAAACATTGATGATTGTGTTTATATATGAGTATTATACGTTGTTGGTGTTTAATTTAAGAAGCTGCTGGATATTTTACGCAGATAGTCTGTACTGGTTCTTTTAAGAATCTAATAATAGGCCCAGCCACAGTGGCTTGTGCTGCTAAGATGCTGTACTTTTCAGGCTGGGACTACATAGACAGCCTGGGTTCGATTCCCAAACCAGCCTAACGGCTAGGTGTGGTGGTGTGCCCCAGCAGTCCCAGCTGGGAGGCTGAGGCAAGAGGATCACAATCGTGCTTACATGCCCAAAATCGCAACGCCATGGAGAAAAGGAGAAGAGAATGGAGTGTGACCATACCCCACAGGGGAGGGTGTTTTCTTTGCTCTCTTTCAATGCATGTGTTCTCTAGGAATAAACAGAAAATATAATAAAAGCACAAAAAGAACATCTTAATCACAGAATGCCTTTAGATGAATGCTGCTCCTGTGAGACCTTTTTTCCTCCAGCCATCTTTCAGTATTTGGTCCTCATTTTTCAGGAACAGAAACCTTGTCTGAACCTTGATGGGGGTCATTGTTCAGTGCTTGGAAGAATCTTCCCTTGCACGCTTCTCTGTTAGACAAGTTATCTTGGTCTAACTTGGATTTTTACTTTCAAGGAGTAAAAATCCCACAATATTTTATTGCCTAATAGTGAGTCATTTGTCTTATTCTGGCTTTTACCTCCATCCTTTAACACACACACATACACACACACACACACACACACACACACACACACACACACAATTCTATGAAGATGAAAATCCATTACACTCTTAGATCATCTTTATACACACATATTTTAATGGCACACAGAGTGAGGAAAACTAATCCAAACAGAAGGAACATCTTGTTCAGACTACTTAAAATTATTTGGGTAAAAAGCGGGTATTAGAAATATTTAAAAAGGTTATTTTTGATGGTAGGAGAGAATACACTCTTTAAAGTGATCTTATCTGTTCAATGACTACATGATGTGTAGACCTTTCATCATATGAAATTGTTGTGAACCTTTTTTCCGAAGTGGCCAAATTTTCCTACCCCAAGAAGTAATTAATATTCTTCTTTCTGAACAAAAAGCATGCTAGTGGGCAATGTCACAGAATCTGCTGCATGTCATTTCAAAGCCAGAGTCAAAGCACAACATGTTTGTTTTTGTTCTGTTTGTCTTTAATTTGCTACAAGGTGCATGTGTTCTCCAGAGAGAGACAAAGAGAGGGAAAGTGAAAAAAGCATCTCTCAGTGGGGATGGTCACATCACAATCCCCTCTCTTGAATTTTCCTCTTGAGATTTTGGGTGCATGTGCCCAGGGCATTTTCCAGGCTGCAGGGTTCAGGACTCAAACCACACAGTAGGCCATGTGGAATCCAGTCACCTAAGCCACATACCACCGGCTGGCCTTAGAACATGTTTATTGAGCATACATCCACTTCATTTTCTATTTCTACACAAAGAAAGAAACCAGAATATATAATTACTTGCCCTGGAAAGTTTGAGAAGTGGCAAAGAATAAAAAATCCAGATCATACTGAATAGAAGAACCCCTCACAAGAGATGACCTGTGACAGCTGTTGGTCCTGGGAGAGGCTAGAAGCTGAAGCTTGTCACCCTCATTCTGGCTCAGGAGGCTCTTTGTGGGGATTCCATCTTGGCCTGGAAAAGAACCTCAACCCCACATGATTTGCATTTAGTTTTGGGCACAGGAAACTACCTGTCAGGCTAGTCTCTGCTTGTGTGTACCTAGGCATCTCAACCAATTGTGGAGAGGAACAAGCTCAGCAAGTATCAAAGAACTGTAGGAACCCCAGGAAGGTGAGAGACGCCCCATGGTCCTTCCCAGACCCTAGGGATTCCTTGAGGTCTGAGCTGGATGCTGAGCTTCAACGCAGTCACTAAGGGGGTAGGGGAGGAGGGCTCACAGCACCAGCCACACTTACTTCACACTAATCACCTGTGACACGTTTGGAACTTTTCAGACTGTGGAGCCAACTGTCACAAACAGTGCAAAGACCTCCTGGTTCTGGCCTGCAGGAGATTTGCCAGGGCACCCTCCTTGGGCAGCAATCAGGGGTCACTGCCTGGAAGCCCCTCGCTACCCCCAGGTAATGCCCTCTGCTTTCTTCCCTGCCTTGATGTTTCTCTGTTCACCTCCCCGCACCTGGGCCTTGGGTTCTCATTCTAACCCCAGTCAGAGTCATGAATCATAAGGCCTTCTTTAGGGTGACCAGCAGTAACTAAACCCTGGAATCCCCACTGCTCCTCTCTGCTTTCTGGTCTAACATGCAATTTGCCCTCAGCTAATTTTGTTCCATTCTGCATCTGTTCCTCACTGTTCCCAGTGTGTCTGACCTCTGCTGTTTGTAGTAACTTTGATGTTTACTGTCAAGTCATCAAATGTCAAATAATCACCATCTTCTTTCCCCTTCCAGTGCAGGATGAAGTATTTGAGTTTCCTAGGGTCACTTCTGGACACCAGGACCTGGACAGCAGAGCCATCACACTGGTTACAGGCTCTTCCCGCAAGATTTCCGTGAGGCTGCAGCGGGCCACCACCAGCCAGGCTACCCAGACTGAACCTGTCTGGTCAGAGGCTGGCTGGGCGGACTCAGGATCTCACACCTTCCCTAAAATGAAATCCAAGTTCCATGACAAAGCAGCAAAAGACAAAGGCTTTGCCAAGTGGGAAAATGAGAAGCCCAGAGTACAGGCTGGCGTGGATGTTGTAGACCGGGGCACTGAGTTCGAATCTGACCAGGATGAAGATCAGGGTGAGACCAGACAGGATGGTGAGGTCAGTGCTGGGTGAAACCACAATTAAAATCAGGAGGAGGGTCGGGACCAGCAGTTGGCATAATGGCTATGTTGCTGGACTCCTATGTAGTCGACTGTGGTTTGAGTCCCAGACTCGATGGCTTAAACTCATGCCAGGCATATGTGCGTGTGTACCCAAGAACCCAAGAGGAGAATGGAGGAGAAGGGACCGAGGCGTGGTCATCCATCTCCCTTGGGGGGTGATTTCTCTCTTTCTGTCTCTCTGTCTCTCTCTGTCTGGTGAGAGCATGTGCCCTATAGCAAAAACCTCTCCAAAAAATAAAAACAAAAAATCAGGAGGAGGGTGAAGGTGCAGAGATGAGCATCATAGTGGCTGAGAGCCTGGTAGTGTGAAAGCGCATCACTTTTATTCTGTTGGCTATGTGACCCTGGGCAGATGGTTTCTTCTCTGGCTCTGTTTCCAAATGTATAAAATGGAACTGAATTGAGTTCCCAGACCTAGTGAAGGTTGTCATGTCTGTGTACTGAAGTAAAGCCCCAGGGACCCACAACTATTACATGTATTCTATAAACTAGCCCGTACACTGTATAGATCAGCTTAGTTTCCAAGCCAGGGCCAGGGCCCCAGCTGAGGGGAGGCAGAAGAAACAAGAGACTTGTAGACAGAGAAGGAGAACTGGAAACTCTTGCCCTGGATGAAAAGGAGGCTTTTGACAGCCTCATGAAGAAAGGGATGATGAAAATCAGAGACATGGAGACCTCATAGCTCTGCCTCCACATAGGAATTACACTCATATCATCCAAAGCAAATTGGGATACATATGGAATTTATTAGTACCTGGCGAAAATATAAATTGACTCAAGATGGAGTTAGATTAATTTATTAGTCAACATTCGATAGTGTATTAAGAAAAAGGATTTGGGGAAATCAGTGTCATATCCTAACCTTTAAAGCAATGTCATGGAGGGCAGCCATCACCCCTCCTGTTGACTCCCAGGATATTGAGTTAGGCAGAGATCTGGTTGGAATAAGCCCTACTCTTTATTCTTACGGGTGGTCTTCCACATCCCACTTTTCAGGAGACCTAAATACACAGTCTCTATAGTTTCCCACGATAAGACGAACTCCAGGGATCTTGAACCAAAATCCCTCTAGTTCCTTCCTCACTAAAGACAGTAAGAGGGCCTCGTGTTATCTCTAGTTCTATGAAGTGTAGTGTAAGTTTTTGATGAGCCTCCCCCCCTTTGTTATAACATCAACTTTTTAAAAAGAATCACTTAATCTAAAAATTTTATTATTCTTATTTCACCAGAGAGAGAAAGGAAAAGTGAGAAAACAAGCCACCAGGTCCAGGACGTGAACTGTGAGAGTCCAGTGCCTTAACTACCATGCCACCTGTCAGCCTCCAACTTTTTAAAAGCTTTTTGACAAAGGGCATGTGAGCTCACCAGAGAGAGACAGTGAGAAATCATCCCCCAGTGGGGATGGCTTTGCCACAATCCCTTTTCCTTCATTCCCCTGCTGGGATCTTGGGCATACATGCACAGGCCACCTAGCATGATTGACAACTAGCCAGGCCTGGGATTCAAACCGCAGTCAGCCATGTGGGAGTTTAATGCCACTATACCACCTGCTGCTGGCCCCACAACATCAATTTTCAAAAAACAGCTTTATTGAGATCAATTCAGTGGTTTTTCTGTATATTTACAGAGTTGTATAACCATCAGTACAATCTAATTTTAGAACACTTTTATCATTCCAAAAAGAAACCTTGTACCCATTAGCAGTCACTCTCTCCCTCCTCACCCCAGCTCTAGGCAACCAACTAATTTATCTTCTGTCTCTATAGAATTTGCCATACCAACTTTATTTTTAACATTTCCCCTACTGATTTTCTTGACTAATATATTAATTCCACCCTTCTACTTCTACAAGCGTAGCACAGTTCAAGATGGGAATATAAAAGTATGGAAAAGTTTATGATTTGGTGCCAGAGAAATATATCCTAGGGCAAGAGTTTTTTACTTGAGGTCGAAAAAATGGTTTCAGGAGAGTCTGTTAAAGTGCTTTATATTTTAGGCAAAATTATATAAGAACATATGTTCCTTTCTGGGAAGTGGTTTACAAGATTTTGATTTTCTAGATGATGCCTAAAATTGTGCTAGATACCCCACATACCATCTCAGCCTGGAGAGGGTATTTCCATGAGCACTGTGGCCACCACTGAAACCTCAGAAAAAGAGTTACTACAGGCAGAGTTGAAGGATGCCCACCTCGAGTGCTCAGGATGGTCCTCACCTCGTGGACATCTCTAAATTCAGAGGAGCACCTGCTTTTGTTTAACAAATAGCGAAATTGGCCATGAGCTCACTTCTATTGGCCTATCAATCATGAAATGAGTTTCTTAAACCATGCTCCTGGGTTAGAAGAAATTCACAGCCTGTGAAGCATAGGACAATCATTTATGCAGGTAAAATTTTCTGATCATTAATCCCTATAAGAAAATAGAAACACAGATCTGTGTTATTTTTTTTAATTTACTTTTGTTCTTTGCAGATTGTACTTTTATATTCAAATGTTCTCTTATCTTTTCTATTTTCTCATCTCATAAATCATAGGAAAGCTTCACTGACTAGTATTTAATTTCATTTGGACTAATTAATAAAGATAGCATTCTCATGTAAAATGCAAATACATGGTATACAGTCTCACTTACATTCAAATCAATAACAAATGAGAAGACATTTGTCCTTGCTTAGAAAAAGCAAGAAGGAAAAATAAATGTGGCATAATTATACTGAAGCATTGAATATGTTGACCAAAGAGTTTTATGGCTTTTTCTTCCAGGCAAGATTAATGAATGACGTTAGGAGAAATGGTCTGCACATTTATCATTTAGTATCAGATGAAGTTCTAGAATTAAAAAATGATCAAAGAAAAAGGCAATTGTGTTTGCAATCTATGTATTTCCTTCAGTGGAATTCTGGGGCTTACACTCATTTTAAAATTTAAAGGTGTAAACATTTTTGAGTAGTGGCTTTCATGTTGCCAATGACTATTAAAGCCCTGGATGATGGGATAGGTCAAGATTAACCTCTTGGCAGTAATAATATGTGTATTTCCTTTATCATTCTTTTGTTTTCTATTAACTTCTAAGTTAACTCTAATAAAGAATACTTATCATAGAAAGACGGAAAAAAAAATGCTAGACTAAGAGTTAAATATATTGGAGCCAGCCGGTGGCAAGCTAGTTAAGGTACTATATAGCTGACTGCCATTGGAGTCCTGGATCTGGCAACTCGATTATCATGCCACACACATGCGTGTGTGTACCCAAAATCCTGAGATAAGAACTGAAGAAAAGGGATTGTGGCAGGGCCATCCCCCCAAATTCCCAGGGGATGATTTCTCACTTTTCCTTTCTGTCTCTCTCTCCAGTGAGCAAATACGCTCTGTGGCAAAAACCATTTAAAAAGTTAAAAACGTTTTGTATATATACTATACACACACACAGGTATACATATATGTATACATACATGTGTATATATATATACACACACATATATACACACACACATATATATATACACACACCTATATGTAATATCTTTTTCTTACACATTTGCCATTATATACTAATTTACACATTTACACTGTGGATTTCTAAGAGGAAATCCTTTTAACAAGGAGCCTGTTGAGAGACTAATGTTTTAGGGGGCAGTATTTAGAAAACATTGTAGAGGGGGCCAGCAGGTGGCATGGTAGTTAAGGCGTTGGATTCCCATATGGCTGACTGCAATTCAAGTCCCAGACCTGGTGGCTTGCTTTCTCACTTTCTCTCTCTGGTGAGCACATGTGCTCATAGCAAATTAAAATAATAATAATACATCATTTAAAAAAAATCTTAAAAGAAAACATAGTAGATAAAGCTTCCTTGTTGGACTCTGCATGAGCCTATAGGATTTTACGTGCTGGTAGGCTACATTATCTTTTTTAATTTTTTTAAAGAATTATTTATTGGGGTCAGCAGGTGGCATGGTGGTTAAGACGCTGGACTTCTACATGTCAGATTGTGGCTCAAGTCCTGGACCCAAGGCTTGAAACTCACACCAGGCGTGTATGTGCGTGTGCCTTAAATCCTGAGAGGAGAATGAAGGAGAAGGGATTGTAGGTGGGCCACATTCCCTGGGGGGACAATTTTTCACTTTCTGTCTCTGTCTCTCTGGTGAGCACATACACACAATAGCAAAAATTGCTCTCTCTCAGAAAAGGAATTATTTATTTAATTTTATTTATAATTTTTTAATTTGACTAGAGGTAGAGAGAGAAGGACTTGAACTGCAGGTCAATTATGTGGGCGTCCAGCACCTCAACAGCCATGTCATCCACCAGCCCCTCCATGACCTTTTAATTCCCTCTAAATCCTAAGACTATAAGGCACTGATCATTTGAGATGTTCTCTCAGAGTTATCCGAAAAACGGCTTTCTAGGAACACTCATTTTGGTACATGAGACCCAGGCATGTAACAGGTTCTCATTTGTGTTACAGGATGGCTGACTTCAGGCTGAAGAAACAGAAAGCAATAAACATTATTTTCGCTTCTGGAGGGAGCAAGATGAGAGACTCCAAAGAACACTCCAACTCTCAGGAACTTATCTGGAAAGATATCTGGATGTTTACTAATCTGTGACATCATGGGGTCACATGACTGGACTGTGAGATGGAGGATTTATCCTAACTATGAACTATTTATTTCCTCCTCCCTGCTCCTAGAGAGGTGTCACAAAGATTGTGCTGGGTAGTTAGGAATTTTCTCATTTCTCTCTCTCTAGAGCCACTTACATACGGGTGAAATGGAAGCTTTCTCTGCATGTATTGATAGTCATTCTAAACTCAAACTTTGGCATTTTTGTGAAATTATCTCGATATATTTGTAAATGTGTATATGGGCGTTTGTGTGTTGGGGGGGGGCATTAATTTAGAGGTCTTTTTGTGTACTATGTGGATGGGACCAGGACTTAACCTTTTCCTGAGGGACAAGAAAGCTCTGCAGATCCTGGAGTCCAGGGTTCATCTAGTGCCGATCAGTTACAACCAGATGCTGTTTACATTGTCTCTACCATAGACTGGCTCAGATGTGTACAAAGTCACGTATGCACATATCACATAAGTCTTACCACTCCTACTATGACATAGCTGGGAAGGCTGTACTAATGTTTATAATAGCCATGGGAAAAAATTAACTATACTTTCTCATTTGATTAGGTTCAGCTAACTTTCTTATGACTCCTGAAAACAGGAAGAGCAATTAAGAAATCAACAAAATGTGTGTGGGGGGGAGGATAACATTTAGCAGAAAAGTAAACTATAGAACAAACCACAAGGTGAAATGTAAACAGCCACCAATTTTTAAAAATCCCAAATAATTTTATGATTTGTTTGTTTGTTCTAGGGCGCATGTGTTCACCAGAGAGAGACAGTGAGACAGAAGGCAAGAAATCACACACACACACCCACAGGAGTGACAGCCATGCTGCAATCCCTTCTCCTCTTGGGATTTTGGGCATGCATGCATATGCACCCTGCATGAATTTTAAGCTCTTGGGTCCGGAACTCAAACAGTGGTCAACTATGTGGGAGTCCAGTAATGTTATCATTATGCCATCTAATGGTCCCTAATTTTGTGAATTTTTAAAAAAAAAAAAAACACTTTTGGTTGTGAAAGAGAATTCTTGCTTGAAATTGCTATCCATAATTAAAGAACAGTCATAGAAAGAAAATCATAAACCACCTTTGATGAACATTTTTATTACATGTTTAAAAATATTGGTATTTCAAATATCTTTGATAACATCCACTAACGAGATTTTTTTTTTTTTTTAACATTGTTAAGGGAAAGCAAACTCGTTCAAGATGTTCAAAAATAGAGATGGGATTGAGCCTGTGGGTCAAGGGAATGATCTGCTACCAAGTGACCCATTAGAAACTGTATTCCACAGAGCTGCACTGGTTGTATTTGAGGGCTACAGTGCACATATTCCATGAAAAACTCAGTGTATTTCTAATAGAGGAAGTCACTCTAGTGAAGCCTTTCTTCCCTCTTTTCTCCACTGTTGAGCACCTGCTCTGGCAGTTCCTGTCTACATGCACAAAGATAAGCAAGACTCGCTCTCCGCCCTTGGGAGCTGACAACCTGTGACCATGAGGCAAAATGGTTGTAGCGATTGCAAAAAGGATTCCAAATTTGCTAGGACTGACTAGTTTTAGTGATTGAAAATATTTCAAATTAAATGAAGTTATTTGCTGAGCAAGCTGTGATTAAGCTACATAATAAGAGAACGCAGTCACTTAGCATCTGCAGGCGCTTTAGAGGGCAAACAGCCATCCCAGATGTTGGTTCCATTTACAGACACTATTCACTCCTATTTATAAATAAATATTAATAAAATTAAAAACAAAATGTAGTGATTTAAATGCAGGAACTCTTTCTTGTGTTTTTCTTTTAACTGAAGAAAATTCAAGAAGAAACTTCGTTAATAAATGTTAGAAAACATGTTCTTTTTCTTCTCCAAGGAATTATTTTACTTGCCAATTAGTTTGTGTATCTTTGAGCTATCACGTAAAGGAAAAGTTCTATTTTGTCAGACCTCCTAAGATAAAGATATTAAATGAACCTAGAGGGAAAAAAGCCAAGATCTATATTATGCCTGCACACAATCACTTTTGGTGAAAAGCAATTTGGATCCATAATGAAGTTGCTTTATAATTTTGATTATAACATTTACTCATAACCAGTGGTAACTCTGATGTTTTCAATTTCTTATAATCAGTAAAATAAGTGAAGTAGGCAAACCCATGATGTAGCTAAAAGAACCCATCTTATGATTTGTTCATTCAGACAGACCTTTGTTTCATAACCTTGATGATCACTGCCACCTTTTAAATGAAAAGCAAAAACAGGGCCAGGAGGTGGCATGGAGGTTAAGAAGGCTGTATACCCACACCACGCCATGGTTCAAGACCCTTACACAGTGGATTGAAAAAAATGCACCAAGCACATGTGTGCACATGCCCAAAATCCTATGAGAAGAATGGATTGTGGTGTGGCCATTCTCACCTTGGGGATGCTTTCTCACTTTCTCTCTCTCTCTCTCTGGTGAGTACACATGTCCTATAGCAAGCTAACAAAAAAAAAAAGAAAAGAAAGAGAAAGAAACAAAGAAAAGAGAAAAAGGAAAACACACACACACACACAACTCTTAACAACTATTTTCAGGTACTAGGACAGGATTTACTAGATACTTCTAATGAGTTTTCACCAATTCATTTATCTGCCTAAACCAGAGCAGCTCTAATTGGTGATTGAAGCCTTTGGGTTGCCTGGCTATCTCCAGAAGCAATAATGTCCCCTGATTTCCTTGGTAATAGAGTCTCTCTGATGGTCAGAAGGATTTGTTAACTAAAAATGAAGGTGGCCCAGCTTCATGGCCTGGTGGTTAAGGCAGCCAGACCCTATACAGCTGACCCAGCAGTTTGAGTCCTGGGCCCAACAGCTTTTGGAGAAATACACCAGGTGCATGTGTGTGGTTGCTCAAAATCTTGCAAGGAAGAAGAGATGAAGGAGAAAGGATTGTGGTCTAACCATTCCTCATAGGGCGTGCTTCTCCTTCTCCCTCTCTCTGGTGAGTGCATGTGCCCACTGGCAACACTTTGAAAAAATTAAGGTAAAAAAAAAATTAAGGTAAAAAATTAATGGTAAGCAGCTTTAGTAGTCCTAAAATAAACACAATGGAGTCAGATGATGGTGCCATGTAAAATATATCTGCAAAGCTGACCCAATGGGAAGATTCCAAGTTCATGTCCAGAGACCTCCCTGAGTATGCTAGATATATGCATGCCCAAGGTCTAGGGCTGGTTGAAACTGGGGTGAATTCTGTTGAGTATACTGTGTCTCTTCCTTCCTTTCTCTATTTCTCTCACTCTTAGAGGAAATACATAAATAAACTTAAAGAAAAGTAAGCATATTAATTTTGTCAAAATATACAAGACTCTAGAATGTCTTCAGAGTTGAATTATATTACCAAATTCTGTAATTTATGACTAGATTTAAATCTCATCTCTACTACGTCTAAGTTATGGGATACTTAGCAAGTTGGGCACATCTATTTGAACTTCCATTCCTTCATTTGAAAAAAAAAAAGATTTTTACACTTCCCTCAACTACCAATACTATTATGAAGACCAAGTCAGCTAATGAATATAAAAGTACTTTGAAAAGATCTTATGTAAGTCAATATTATGTTGCAATTAAGCAGAATTCTCTAAAATTGTCCCAAGATCTCAAACTTTCTATGTATTATATGGCTGTATATTTCTTTTTTTTTTTTGGAGAGGTTTTTTTTTTTTTTTTTTTTTTTTTTTTTTTTTTTTTTTTTTCCGAGGGCCCGTGGTCCCCCCCAAAAAACAAGCGAAGACAGAGAGACAGAAAGCAAGAAATCACCGCCCAGGAGGGATGGCCACGCCGCAATCCCTTCTCTTCCATTCCCCTCTCGGGATCCTGGTGATGCACGCACATGCGCCCAGTGTGAGTTTAAGTCGCCGGGTCCAGGACTCGAACCACGGTCGACTAGGTGGAAGTCCAGCGACATAGCCATTACGCTAACTGCTGGTCCCATATGGCTGTATATTTCTAAGACTCTACACTCAACATTTAAGTTTCTGTCAAAAAATTGTTTAAACAAAAATATATAAATAAAAATATTTACAAGATTTTCCTTATTCCTGGCACTATATAGGTATCGGATTAGTTCTGGTTTGTTCATAAACATTGATTATTCTCCCCATTTGAAAATATGTAGACAAGATTAAAAGACCAAATGGGGGAGCCAGGTGGTGGTGCAGTGGTAATATGACTAGACCCACAGGTGAAAAGTTCTGGGTTCACCTCTTGGGGCCTCTTTGAGCACACCAGAGACACAAGTGCATACCTGTGATCAGGACCAGTTGAGACTGGGGGTAGACTGCAGCATGGAGACCCTGTTGGGGGTACTTGCCTCTCTCACAGAAGAGACAGATTAAAAAGAAAAGGGGAGGGGACAAAGAAGAAATAAATACACGTTAAAAGAAGGAAAGAAATGGGACCAGCATGTGGCTACCAGGTGGCGTGGTGGTTAAGGGTGCTGGACACTCACGTGGCCGACTGCGGTTCCAGTCCTGGACATGGCAGCTTGCTATCTCACTTCTTCTCTCTCTCTGTCATTCTTACACTATTCCTCTCTGGTCAACCTAAAATAATTATTGAAAAAGAAAAAGAAATGGGGGAAGGCCAGCAGGTGATGTGGTGGATAAGGGTGACGGATTTCCACACGGTTGACCATGGTTCAAGTCCTGGACCTGGTGGCTTACTTTCTTGCTTTCCCTTTCTCTCTCTCTCTGTTTCTCTGGTGGTCAAATAAAAAAGAATAAAAAGAAAACAAACAAACAAACAAAAAACTAACAATAACAAATGGAATTAAATAAATATTTAGAAAAAAATATTTAGAAAAAAACAATTATTCATGTGACCAGCAGATGGCGTAATGGTTATGTCATTGGATTCTCATGTAATCAACTGCAGTTTGAGTCCCAGACCCCGCGGCTTGAAAATCACACTGGACACGTGTGCATGCATGCCTAAAATCCTAAGAGGAGAATGAAGGAGAAGGGACTGCAGTGTGATCATTTCCCTGGGGGAAGGGGAGTGATTTCTCACTTTCTATCTCTCTGTCTCTCTGGTGAGTACATGCGTCCTATAGCAAAAATCTCTCTTAAAAAAAAGTGGGGGTGGGGGGAAGGGACCAGAAGTTGGCGTCATGGCTATGTTGGTGGGCTCCCATGTAGTTAACTGCAGTTCGAGTCCTGGACCTGGTGGCTTAAATCATGCTGGGTGCATGTGCGTGCATGCCCAAGATCCTGAGAGGAGAATGGAGGAGAAAGGATTGTGGTGTGGCCATCCCCCCTGGGGGGCGATTTCTCGCTTTCTGTCTCTCTGTCTTTCTGGCAAGGGCACAAGCCCTATAGCAAAAACCTCTCAAAAAAAAAAGGAAAAAGAAAAAGAAATCAAATGGGCAAAATGCAAAAAGTGTACTATTTATTTGATAACTAGGGAATATTTTACAACTATTTAAAGTGGAGAAGTACAGGAAACTACTCAGCATTTAAGGTTTTTTAGGAAATGGCTTCTTCCTGGCCACATCCAAAACCTGCTGGCTTAAGTCTAGAAAGCATTCAGATCTCAAACAAAAACTCTTAATCTTTAAGAAATGTTACTAGTAGGCCAGTCCATGGCCTGTGATTAAGGCGGATGGATGTCACATGGCCAACCAAGCAGTTTGAATGTTGGACCTGGCAGCTTTAAAAACACATCGGGGGGACCAGCAGATGGTGTAATGGCTACATTGCTGGACTCCCATGTAGTTGACTGCGGTTTGAGTCCTGGACCCAGTGGCTTAAACTCATGCCAGGCACCTGT